TTTGCAAACCGCAATAAGTAAATAAATAATTTTTCAATCGATTCATTTGCAACAATCGATTAATTCTTTAGTAGATTAATCGATTAATAGATTAATTGGTGCTTAAAATGTTCAATCAATTAATTGTCGACTAACCAGCTAATCGATTTTTTCAACTTCCGATTTGTAACACTATGGTCGACCACTAATTTTAACAACACTGGATTAAATATAAATTGATCAATAATGGCATGCCTAATAGGCTTTAGAAAGACCCTATAATAAGGGAATAAACATGGTTGACTGATAGCGAAATTAACCAAGTGTTTAACACACAATATCAATATTCTTAAGTTGCAGATTTAAATTTTTAACCTGTCAACTCTGGGTCCGATACCGTTTTATATTAATTGACATTTTTAATATCGTACGTACTAACGTTAATATAAAAAACACCTATTTTATCTTTTGTAACACATTAATGATCACTCAGTCATGTTGTGTTGTATGTTTATTGTTATTGCAACAAACCGGCGCATTTACTCGAAGTTTATTCAAGTTTTCCCTGAAATAGTTTAAAATGGTGTATTACGTACAGTACGTACGTACGAATTATCATCTATAAAAAAAAAAAAAAAAAAAAAAACATAAATCCCCCTACTTCACACTTTTATCTATCGCTATATTTTAAATTGATTATTCACTTTGAGGCTTGTGTAATTCTCTGCTTGTAAATATTCCACTTCGTTAGTCTCTAAACGATAACATGGACATCAGCAAAATGTTACTAATAGAGAATCAAATAAAAGGTCGTTGGTCAGTTGAGGTGAATATTGATTCCTTATTTGTTAAAAGGGATTGATACAATAAACACCGCCATTTGAAGATTCTTGATCCTTTCGTGAGTGAGATAATGTCAATGCTTGTATTAATATGTTTAAATGCACAAAGACTTTGATCTTCCGCATAAAATCCTCACTATTAGTGTAGTAATGCCTCCACTAACGGTTTCAAATTTATTTTGCTCACTTCCAATAAAGAAAAATAAAGAAAACAATATATATATGTATTAATTACGTTTTGAATGCTATCTAAAATAGGAAGATAAACTATTAATGCAAAGTATAGAAGAGGAACCTGATCCGGAGAACCCGATTTGGGTTAATGTTGAAAAAAAATTTGCTGGAAAAAGAAGTGCGAAGCAAATTAGAGAGAGATGGTCCAACCATCTTTCTCCATCAAGTAAATATTTGGTTCTTTTATAAAATTAATTCATTAATGATAGAGTTACAAACATCACTAATTGTATCTCATCTTTGATTGAATGTGCTATTATGCAGTCAAAAAAAGAGAGTTTAATGATGATGAACGAAAAATTATCGAGGAAGAATTCAAAAAGAATAAATTCAAATGGGCCAAATGGCCCAAAATTGCTTCTAAGTTAGAGAATGCAACACCACTAATGGTCAAAAACTTTTGGCATAATAGGCTTAGGGTTAGGAAAAGACCTATTATTGTTAGGCATCCTACAGATTCCTTTTTCGCGGGGCATCCTACAGATTCCTTTTTCGCGGAACCGTCCATTCCAGTTCAAGGGTTTTCGAGTGGACTAGGTTGGCTCTTAAAATCAACAATTTTATCAACATATAAATACATTTTTAACATATAATTCATTATAGTGTTTTCAGGTTTTGTCACTCTTGCCCGTGTTGCTAGCATGGCATGTAGTACTACGAGCTCTGGTGCGAATCCGAAGAAACGTTCCAAACGCATGTCTTTTTCCTTCCTTCTTAATAAATAAAATTTACAAAATTACCTTAATTATAACTTTTTGGAATAATTAAGACCGTTTAATAACATTCGTTAATAGGACAAAACCCATTGAAAACTCGAGAGACATTTATTGGCTTTCTTAGTTGGTTAAGGATTATAAATAATAATCATAAGTTTTTTTTTTTCTTTTATTAGACAATTGCTCTATCAATATCATATATGTTATTATGAGAATATATTTGGGTACGTGCTAGAGTCAGATTAGGCCTAGTCATAATTATAAAAATCCTAGCTCTATTCCATTTCCGAACACCATATTATTACTTTTATGTAATGAAAATTTTTTTTATCTGTTTGCCAACTCTGGCTTTGGTGACCTGAATGTTTTAGCCTGGACATTTTTCTTACAATTAGCATTGATTTTATTTTAGCATTTTTGTAGTCAATTAGTCAGAAATTAACACTATTCTTTTTCACGTTCATGTAAGGGCATTGTTTACATCGTTTATATCGCATTGGTAGATTAAAATTTCCATATGGGTCACAAGTTTTTTTTTGGTAGATAGATAAAATTCTGGTTCATTACCTTGACTAGCTAATAGGCCTCTGGAATTTGATAAATCTACAAATTCAAAATTTTCTATTAATTTTTAATTATAAATATATTGTATATTTGTTTGTATTAAACATGTATTAATAAATTTTTCTGCATATTTTGAAAGATGTACGTAGTGTTTCATCGACATGTCACATTGGTCAATTAAGTAAATCAAAACTATATATGGTACTGTATCATATAAAAATTTGTTATTACATAAATATTAAGATTCGCAAGAAAAAAAAAATTTTTTTTATTTGTTGTTGTAAAGCAACTTTCGCTAATGATTGATTCTGTTGCTGTTGCACTAAAAGTTTTGAATTGGTAAAATCAT